CAAAACCCCAAAACCCCAAAACCCCAAAACCCCGAAACCTCAAAGAGATATTGAAATAAAAATAAATAAAATGAGTCAGTCCCCTCAAAGGAGAGATTTCTCGTTTGCTACCCCTGCGAAGTACGTTTTGAGTGTAATTTTAGAAATCGGAGAGAGATTCCAGGCGCATATTCGTGCTCCAGAGAGGTCACAAGTTATACCAGGATTATAGAAAGTATCATAAAGAAAACTTATGGACAAGATCATGTAATAAAATTGCAGATTTCATGACAAGAAATTTCTTTTTCAGCTTTTCTCTTTTTATTTAACCTTGATTTCATCATTAAGCATTTATATAGGGGAAATTCTTGGTTCCAGCCCTAGAGTGGTTAAAAGACTGCAGTCTAAATGAAAAGAAAGGTACTCTCAGTAGCTTAACTTTAGGCCTAAAAGTCATTCATATGGTTGTTAAAAACAAGGGATTGAAAAGTAATTAAAAATAATTATAAAGATAGCATTCAAACCTATTAATAAAAAACCAGAGGTCAAAGAAATCATAGATCTCAAAAATTTAGAGATCAAGGATGCTATCAAGGAGTATGAAAAGCTTAAATTGAAGACATCTTATGGATCGTTCTATGGAAGAAAGCCTGCGTTGGAAGATTTAGCAGATACCACAATTCTGAACTCCCAGAAGTTCTCTCAGCTCCCTTGCACAAAAATCTTGACTAAGCTAGCTAAAGACGCGCTAGATTCCTGGCAACAAATTGAGCCTGAGAAAGAGTATAAAGGGATTGCTTTGAGCACCCTCAGATCTCTAAATACCCATGTTCTCAAATCTGAGCCGAACACTTCCTCATCAAGAGTGTTTCACAGAAACTTCAAACCCTCAGAGCTCAGCAAGGTTGAGAGATATGACAAACTTATTGAGACAATCTCTATGAGAGTTAAATAATAAATTCTTCGAAGAAAGCAAAGCTAAAAATACCACCAATAAAATTGCTGTACCAGCCCAAATCATGGATAAGCTTGCCAAAATAAAAAATTCCAAAATTTACGGAAGGGCTCTTTCTAGAAGAAAATATCTCCATTTTGTCAAAGGCAGTATTAGTACTATTAATAATGGACAACCAATGATGTTTGAAGACGCTAGCACAAAAATAAGTGGGTCCATACCAAAGCCATCAAGCTTGGCTAAAGCCAAGAATTATGGCTCCTTGTTTAAGATATCAGTCGGAGGTGGTGCTTGTATCCCAGACACTAGATACCTCTCAATAGAGAATTCTAAGAAAAGCTCTATAGAGAGTAATTTTGAGAAGGTTCATCACTCAATGAACAATACTATTAGAAGACATCTTCCCAATACAAGCCATCATAGTTATGCAAAGTCTGAGCTGAAAAGAGGGTTATCGATGGGCTATTAATCTATTGCAGAATAGCCTATCTTCTCGTTGCTAGATAATGGATGTGCTCTTCAATACTTGCCTCTAACCCAGGGGTTTTGGGGTTTTGGGGTTTTGGGGTTTTGGGG